AACCTTCTCTGGCATCAATAAGACAATGAATTGACCTCAGGGCCTCACACTCAGCTGAATTTGTCTTTTAAACCTTTTCAGATCTTACTATTATCTCTTTATCCTAAAGTGGAGCATTTTAAATAGCATCTTTGCCTAGCCTTCCTGATTGAAATGTAGGATATGTAAATTATTATTATTATTATTTTTTTTGGCTAGGAGAGTGTCTTACAGCAAGTTTCTTCTACTTTATGCCTACATTTACATAAATCAGTGTGGTAGTCATTCTATCACATGAGGTGGAGTTGATTAAAGTTCTTCACCATTTTCATTTGACAAAGTATTTACCAAACAAGGAGTGGTGCCTTGCAGGGCAGGCTATCTGGAGTTGAGTGGGCCCACCCTCCAGGTGTTAGAGATGAAACATACTGATTGACCCAAAAAAGACAGCAGTGACAGAGTTATGAAACAGTAAACATTTGCCAGACATAGAATAGGAATCTTAAAATAAAAAAAAAGAAACAGCAACAATGCAGCCTTTCATTTCAGGAATTCAGTGCTGGAGGAATCACAAATCGACAGAAAAATAACTTTGCTACTGGGTGGCAAATTTTGCACATGGGCATAGATGCTGTGGTTTAGGGAAAAAACACTAATTTTGAATAATTTCTGAGGGGAATCTGGAGAATGCTTCAGAGGTGGCAGCATGGTAATGGGAACTTAAAATAGGAGTTGGGGGTCATCAGAACAAGAGACAGGAAAGGTGTCACAGACACGAGAAAAACTTATGTAAGGCACAGACCATGACAATGGATGGGATATTTTAATGGTGAGTCCATTGCAGAAATTCATAGAATTCATAGCAAACAAAAAACTGGACTGTTCATTTGGCTCTGAGCTTCTTCATAGACATTTTAAAAAGGAAATTATTTTCATCAACTCCTCCATGGGAGTAACTTACTACAGATTCACTCCTTCAACTTGCGTAACATAATTTCCTGCCTAGCACATGTCAGGTATCTGGCTAGATATGCTACAGCAGTGAGTAGAGACGCAATACTGTCTCAGTTCAAAGAATGCTAGTGAAGAACCTACGTGTTTTCTGCTTCTGTGATTTCTGCTTTACTTGCTTGGCTGGGTGTTGTATAAACTCCAGGCCTGAAAGTCTACATGACACCTGGCAGCACACCTGATAGGTCACGTAGGCAGAGCACTCCTCAGGAAGTGGGCCCCTGTGTGAGATAAGACCCATTGCCCTATATCCCATCAGCTGTGCTTTTTGAAAGGTGCTTGCTTCAAACTAACCAATAGAAGCCTGCCAACTTGCTCTTTTTGAGAGTTAACAGTTAAACTGACCAATCATGGCTGTATAATTGTGTGGAATTGGCCTGAAGTGTATCAGAACCCTGTGCTGTTGAATCACTGTCTTTTTTTGGACCTTCTTCTGCCCCTTCTGCTGCAGTTTTTCCTGCTTCAGCCACCTTGGTGGTGGCAGTGGCCGCCACAGGGGTGGCTGCTATGCTGGGCTGGGAGCCTAGGCTAGTTTTGAATAAACAGCTTTTATGTGTTTGCATTGATGTCAGATTCTGATGATTTTCTGGGGAGCGCAATATCCTGGCATGATGCTAGCATTAGATTTCTACATTGGATGCATTCTGCTAAAATATCTCACTGATACCTCAGCTTTGCTGTCATCAAAAGGTGAGATTAGGAAACATGGACATATATGCTGATTTTAACACATCTAGGGAATAAGTCAATATCAAGGAGAATAGCTCCACCTGCATTTGGCTTCTTCATTAAGATTCGACTTGGAGTTGGCACTCTAATCCAGCAGGTTAAGCTGTTGGGTTGTGATGCTGGCATCCCATATCAGAGTACCAGTTTAAGACCCAGCTGCTCTGCTTTTGATCCAGCCTCCTGCTAATGTATTTGGGAGGCAGTGGATGGCCCAGGAACTTGAGTCCTTGTCATTTATGTAGGACTTTATGATGAAATTTCTTACTTCTGATTATAGAATGGCAGAGGCCTGGCACATCCATGTGAGGAATGTCAGCAGAAGGAAAATTTCTTTCTCTCCCCCTACTCTCTAAATTTAATCGTTCAAATAAAAAATGTTAAATATTGGACTTGTGTTAAGTAGAATATCTTATAAGTGGAAAAAGTGCTGTAATTTGGAAGGGAGAACACAGAAGAGATTGTCTGATTCGTTAGATGATCATTTGAATGAGTGAAACCAGAAATGTCTGTCAACTACACACACAGCACCATAAGACATTTTTGCCCTAGTGATTTGATGCTACTTAGAATAAGTTTGGATGTATGTTTTGTGGAGGACAGAATGTCAGTTTCTCCACATGGCTACAATCCTTATTTTTATAAACTAGGAGTAATTTCATGAGGTAACTGGCTCTTTAAGAAACAATAACTTGGAATCCACTCCTGAAGAAATATTCCTACCAGAACTCATAATTCTGACATACAAATTCATTTTGTGTTCTAGAGGCTTAGTTTGCAAGTACTTCAACTCAGAATTAGCTACTAAATTAAACCACATATGTGGAAAGATTTTCATGACTTCCCTACTGAGATTTTAATGGCTTAGTAGGCGTTTGGTGACACTAAACTTAAAATTCTTCCAGGCTAAAATTATCTTGATAATGTCATGGTGCAGAACTTTGGAGACTTAATTTTCATTAAGTGCATGGGAGAATCTCGGAATCATTTTATGAGGGAGAGAAGCTGTGGTCTTGTCTGGAATATTTACACTCTAGGCCCGAGGCAGGAATCCCCTGCTCCTGTTCAATACCAACCAAAGACTGGCTGTGCGGGTGTTTCCTTACAGGGACTTAGTGGAAGGTCATGCAGCACATCCATTTCTTCCTGGAATAAGGAATGCTGTCAGAACCTTGCTGCCCCTACAGCTGCTGTGATGAAGTGGGCTTTTGACATTTGCTCATTCCCAGTGAAATCTGTCAAGGAAACCCCTGGTACTACTTCTACATAGTAGGGAGGTGGATGTGGACAGGACAAGGTTTATCCTGGTGACAACGCTGCTTTTGAGAACCGTCAGGGTTTGATCATGAAGATCTACATTATGTGACTGTGTGTTATTCTTCACACAGCTAAGAAACTCAGACTCATAAACCCCTTAAAACATTGATAGAACTTCATAATGCTAAATTCTAATTTTTTCTACATTAGCATCTGATTTAAAAATTGTGAAATTCACAACATAAATTGTATTATGGATGAATGATTCACTGGAAAGTAATATGATTTTGTGTAACTACTGTAACTAATTAGTGCCAAAACATTTCTATCACACCAAAAGCAATCTTTGTTTTATATTCTATTGTATTTCCTTTCAGGTCTATGAAATATAACTTATTCAATGCATTTCTGTATCACAAGCAAGTCTTTTTTTAAAGAATGAGTAGAATTTTAATTAAAAATTTAAAAATCTAGTAATAAACCCAAGTTATGAGATTGAGGAGTTGTTGGTAACATAATAAGGAGTTGGTTGCCAGGGTTGTGGCAAAGTTAAGCTGCAGCATCAAGTGCTGGCACCGTGTATGGGCGCCAGTTTGAGTCATGGTTGATTCACTTGTGATCTACCTTTCTAAGCAGCCTGGGAAAGCAATGCTTGGGCCCTTGTACCCACATGGAAACCTGGAGGGAGTTCTAGGATCCCAGCTTTGGCTTGGACTAACCTTGATGATTGTGGCCACACGGGAAGTGGCCATTGGATGGAAGCCTTGCCTGTTTCTCAGCCCTCTCTATAATCCGCCTTTCAAAAATAAATGAACCAAATCTTAAAATCCAGGAGTCATTGTATAGAAGCCAAGCGACATTTCAAGAAGGGAGTGTTCAATAAAAGCCAAACAGCAGAAACACTCAGTAGAAAAAAGATGGAAATTAACTTGCTGATCAATAGGAACTCACCTGGAACTTTTGTTAACCTTGTAAGCTTAGAACATGTAATTAAAATAGTTAGCTTGTGGTTCTAGTTCTGAGACTAACTATGGTGTGAGCTTGGGTAAGTTGTTTTGTATCTCTAGTCTTGGTTATCTCATGTTTGAACAGTGGTTTAAGTAAATTATCTCTGATTTACTGTTCCGTTCTATACTTACAAATGGAAATAATACATACAAATGTGATTAGTAGGCCCGGCAGCATGGCCCAGTGGCTAAAGTCCTCACCTTGAATGCTCCGGGATCCCATATGGGCGCTGGTTCTAATCCTGGCAGCTCCACATCCCATCCAGCTCCCTGCTTGTGTCCTGGGAAAGCAGTCAAGGATGGCCCAGGTCCTTGGGACCCTGCACCCATGTGGGATACCCAGAAGAAGTTCTGGGATCCTGGCTTTGGATCGGCATAGCATCGGCCTTTGTGCTCACTTGGAGAGTGAAATCATTGGACAGAAGATCTTCCTCTCTGTCTCTTCTCCTCTCTGTATAACTGATTTTCCAATAAGTAAATAAATCTTAGCAACAACAAAAAATGTGATTACTAAAGCAATTTTGCAAATACAAAAAATGTGATTACTAAAGCAATTTTGCAAATACAAAAAATATTCTCATAAATATATTTTCATTAATCTGCTTGAAATTGTGACATTGTGATAAGACTTTGATACTATAGTTGCAAAAATTCAGTGAGCATTTAATACCAATTTAATAACACTCTCACTGGACTTATTTCCTGGTGTACTCGCTTTGATTGCCCAGAGGAGGTTGTTCTGGGTGGGCAATGATTAGTTTTGCTTTCATTTTAACTTCTTTCACCACATTCATCAGGAAAGGGTTGTCAGTGTTCACTGTGTTGCTGGATATTATAGCCAAGGGGAGGAGTGTGGGGTGCCCTCGTCCTTAGAGGGTGGCTCAGTGAACAACTCAATTGGAAATTGAGAACAAACCTTGTGGTGGACTGAGAAGGACTTGTCACTGTGTCTGAGACAGTATCAGGGACAGATTCCTCAAAGCATTGTTACTAAGTTTGACTTGAGGTGGGGGAACTCACCAGACAGACCATGCTCTGTTGTATCCATGGTCTCCAGCACAGGTACACCAAGAGAAAGTTCTGGACTCAAGGTAGCATCCTGAAGAATGAATTTAGAAAGAATGAATTTTGAGAACAGATACAAGGATTTGCTGCATATATTTTCCATTTCATTTGAATTTAAGTAAAGATTTTGGTAGTTGACTTAGATGTACCATGGAGGAATGTTCTTTGTAGAATTATGTCCTGGAAAGATGACAGGAATTAGTAAAATGCAATGATAACAGTGATAAAATACAGTTAGCTGCATTGGTTGTTCAGTCTGCCTAAATAATGTTCTGCACATGTGTCAATCATGTGTGACAATTTATGGTTTAATCTAAATGAATATACGCTTAAATATCAATTTTACTACCTGAATTTATATTTTTTTCTTTTAAAAACACATTTTTACTTGCCAAATTTCCATGAATAAGTATATAGGCAAAAGTGCAAAACCTAAAAAATTATGAAGTGTTTGTATTTCTGAAAGTTAGAGTTAATATATTCTGCTTTAATTACTTTCTTCAGGTCATGAAAATGTATTTGCTTTATCAAAAATTGAGCACATTCTGACTAATTGAAACAAAGACTGAACTAAATTGAAGGAAACTTTGAATTTTAAGATATTTGAAGTTCAAGTAGCATTATGTTTTATTAATACTGATACTGGAAGTGGGTTAACAAACTACTCCCTGTGAAATATAGAAAAGAATTATAATTAGCACCACAAATGGGGATTTTGCTGTTTAGTCCTTGAACTAACTTGTGTGTGTGTGTGGCAGGGGACGAGGGGAGGGATGGAATGTTTTCAGGCTTTCTCTTAGAAGAACAAAACTGCAACAAAATCACTCACCATTGTGACATCAGTAAAAGATGTTGGAAGCCCTAATTCGGTGTCCCTATCAAGGTTTGGTAGTGACTCAACAGCTTCTGTGGGTAAAAAAAATCAAAAGACTTCAATGTTTCTCTGATTTTCTTTTAGAGTTGAGGCAATAGAATATGATTAACCAATCAGTTATTAAAAGGTTGTACAACAAATCATAAGCATCATGCAAACTAATAGCCGTTCATCTGAGCAACACGATAAAAGGCTAGGGTTTATTTTGTGTGTATTTATGGTATGAGTAGTTTTTTTCGATGAATTTCTCAGGGTGTTCACTGTTAGTTTTAGACCAGGCAGTCGGGCCAATAGGTTAGGCCAGTGGGAATAAAAATATGGCAGGCTGACAAATATGACTAATGTAACTTAAATATTACAGCCAAACACCATTTGTGAGGTCCACTTGCATACTAAAGCCTGAGTTTCAGAAAACCACAGGAGTCCCAGCAATGCAGGCTGAGATGAGTCTAATGCTGATCTTTCCCTATCCAGGATCTTCCCTTACCCTGGATATTGCCTGTTTCAAGGGAACTTTGGGATGCTTCCTAGAGTTAAGACTTTGAACTGTGGTCATTGTCTGAAACTATAACTATAGATTGCACAAAATCTGTTCTTACGTTAAATAAAAAACTGAAAAAGACACAGAATTAGAAGGTGGCAATTTCATGCCATGTTGCACTAAAACATTTCCTCTACCTTGTCACTTATTGTGCCAACTAAAGAATTCCAGGTCCCGAGGGTCTCCAGGCACCCTTGAGATTCCCAAGTTGGCTTGACATCCTGTTAATTTCTTTAGATCCACATTTCTCATGTCTCATTGCTACTTTCTGCTCCAGGAAAGTATATTCTATACATCAAAGCCTCCTGTCCTCTGTAATAGACTATCTGGCGATGTGTCAGGCCTAGGGGTAAAAACAAGCAAACCCTTACAAACCCTTTTGCAAACTCTCCTCAGTTAAGGTGGCAGAAGACTGATGGATTTACTAGCTGAGGGAATGAAACTATTCAGGAGCTCTTTCTGGCTATATTGCCCTGGCTCATCAAGGTTGACTGGACTAAACTGACTTTTCTCTCCTAGAGCTCTCAGTGGTCTAACTGGTCATCAAAAACTCATCAAATAATACAAAGGAAGGACTGAAAAGACAAATTGTACTGTACATGATGTCCCTCTCAGTAATGATTTTTAGCAAGTCTGTTAGAATGCCAACTTTCACCGTGCATTCATATACTGTCTGCCAGTCTGATAAACTCAATGATGAAATCACCAACTGACCATCAGTGAACTGGATTGTCCTCACATCCAAGGACTGGTCTTCCTCTAGGACTCTGCTGATGAGCACTTGAAGGTCCGTGGCTGTGAGAGAGATTTCTGGTTGCTTGTGGTCGTCTTTGGTTCCATGATGGATTCCACTTTCAAGTGTGTTAGAATCAATTGACTGGAAATGATTTACAGGGCTTTTAGCCTCTGTGCTGTCTTTCTTAAAGATGGCCATGAGTTGTATCTGAGTGGAGCTTGAACTGTAGGCAGCAAGGACACATCCCACCCAAAGACATTGTTAGCGCCGTGTGAAGAGTTTCACTATGTTGTTCCAAAGCCTCAGGACAGCCTTAGCATCTTCCCTGATAGCATTTGAAGGGATATCTCTCTTTGAAACATTTCAATGCTAGCCAGAAACTTGACAAAATTATGTATACTTTTGTTCTAAAGTAAAATGCCAGCACAGTGATTAGATCCAATCTGAAAGACCTCTAAAAGTGATCATAGATACTTTTTGAGAAAGACCTAAAGTTAAAATACTGCCAAATGTTCATTGTTTAGTGATCTTTTGAGTCGGTCAGTGCCAGTCACAAAATGAGTTGCCCTTTTTTCTACAAAAAGCCTCTAGTAGGAAGACCTATGAAGTAGAAATGTGAGCCAAATATTGTGGCATAGCAGGTAAAATTGGCACCGGTGCATCAAATGTGCACTGGTTTGTGTTCTGGTTGCCCTACTTCCAAATCCCTGCTAATGGCCTGGGGAAAGCAGTAGGATGTGGCCTGGAGAAGGCAATAGAAGATGGCCCAGGTGGTTGGGCCTCTGCCACCCACATGGGAAGTCCTGCTGGAGCTCCTGGGTTCTGCCTGGCTCAGCCCTGGCTGTGGCAGACACTGGAGTGAAAGAGAGGATGGGAGATCTGCCCTCTCCTGCTTGCTCTAATTCTGACTCTCCAATAAATGGGCAAATCTTTAAAAAAGATAAATAGTAATGAAGGGCATAACAGTGAGACCACAGGCCACACACATGGTAACCGAGTCACGGCTTCAAAGTTCTTACAGCCACTTCTTACATTCTGTTTTTCTAAGTATTTTAAATTAAAATCTTTAAGTGCAGTGAGAGAAACTGGGTATGAGAAAAGAGGAAGAGAAGTATTACAGAGCAACTTTATTATCACATTTCTTAATTTCAACGGGGGCTTTTTTATAGGCCTGTCCTGAGGAATTCGGTTTTATCTTTTGGCTTATGCAATAAATCCACACAGAATACAAAATTTTAAAGGCCACAGGGACTGATAATATGTATTCTTGGCAGTTCTTAGACCACACAGTCAATCAGTTCATTATTTTGCTAGTCAGTTATACGAACCAAAGTTCAATTCTCACTACCGAGCTTACTATGTTGTATCTTTTTATTCAAACCTGCCTTGGAACCAAGCAGCAAATGAGCTTCTTGGCTTCATCCCATACCTAGGTTGGCTGTATGAACAAAACAACTTGCCATCACAGATAGCATTTATGAAACAGTGAAAGCAAGTGATTTTGAGTTTTATCTTGTTAGGTTTAGATTTTGAAAAACCCTCTTCAACTTCTTAAGTCAATGTTTTCTTAAAGATTTATTTATTGGAAAGTCAGATATACAGGGAGGAAGATCTTCTGTCCAATGATTCACTCCCCAAATGAGTGCAACAGCCGATGCTATGCCGATCCAAAGCCAGGATCCAGGAACTTCTTCTGGGTATCCCACACGGGTGCAGGGTCCCAAGGCTTTGGGCCATCCTCGACTGCTTTCCCAGGCCACAAGCAGGGAGCTGGATGGGAAGTGGAGCTGCTGGGATTAGAACCGGCGCCCATATGGGATCCCGGAGCATTCAAGGCGAGGACTTTAGCCACTGGGCCATGCTGCCGGGCCCAAGTCAATGTTTTCTTAACTACTCTACAGAGTGGTTTTGGTTTCAGAGGTATTTTTACTACTGAATCATTGAGCAATGACTAAATAGCAAACCAGTAAAAAGTCGTTGGCTTTCATAAACATTTCTATGTAAAAATTTGTACAATAAATGCAAATTTGGCGAAAATATTCTGTTTCTTAACAGCCCAACATACCCATCTCTTTCTTTCTTTGGTCTTCATTTCATCACATGTAAACATGCAAAGGAGAAATAATTTTGATGGTTATTTAACTATGCAATATTAATTTATGTACCCCAAACCTCCCTCCCCTCCATTGTTCCTACAGTTACGGAGAATTTGAAATAAACTGGTATCAGAATTTAGATAAAAAATTTGAGAGGCATTTGATGCTGGCGAAGTAAGCATCATTACATGATATTTCTGATGAAAATTTGAGCCTTAGCAGAAAGATTATATGTACTTTGGTCTTTTTCTTAAACTTCCTGATTTCCTCAAATGCTTTCTAAAGAGTACAAATATATCCTACACATCTTACATTTTGGATGTTGTTGGTGCCAGGAAGTTTGTGAGAAGTGTTTTGTAAATGAATTTCTCATCTCCGGAATGGCATTATATGATGAGTTTCTTCCTGAAGGTAATTTATCTGAGGCTAATCTGTGAAACTCACTTTTTGTTGACTGCTGACTTTTTGAATTGCTTTAATCGGTAGGCTTTGCGGAATTGGTCCTATTCACCAGGGGGCAGCATATGGGAAACAGCCACCTGTTAATTGGGTCAGTGTGCTGTGCAGGTAGTTCACATGCGTTATTGAGATTATTATGTTGTTGAACACAATCATCTCCTTAGGTCATAGAAAAAGGCATGTGCTTACATAGGGAAGGAATTGCTTGGAAATTGGCAGGGCAAGTGTTCATACTCTGGCCTTCCTGCCTTCAAAGCCTGGGCTCATATTCTATGCCACCACTTGCTTGTGCCTGAAAAAAGCCATTTGGTCAGCCAACCAAGCAAGGATATTTTTAGACATATTCTTGAATGTGGATTTAGTTTGGAAGCTATATCCCATTTCTCTATCGCAAAAGATAGATTCAGTTCCAAAGGCTATATCTTTACATTTTTGCCTAGGAAAATTTCATTGCCTGAGATTTTGCTTTTTTGCTGAAGCACATTTTTCTTCTATTAAAAACTATTCTCGCCATTTCCTGCAGTTCCAAATTAAAACTTTTTCTTTAACTACAGTGGTTTGTCCAGAGGATCTTGTCATTTATGCAGAATATTTTCCTATCAACCTTAAATTTTTCTGTAATCTAATTTCACACGAAATACTGCAGAGCAGCATCCTGAAATAAAGAAAAATGAGTGTGCTTTGGCAAATATTAAGGGTTTCATCTTTTATAATTTATGCTTCTCCATAAATGCCTTCCTCTGGAGTTATAAAATAATCAGTGGTATCTGATAGATTTGGAAGAAATGGTTAAGCTTCCCTGGAAGCTGTTCTTTATGAGTTTTGCACATCTTCCTGTAAGATGATAGTGAAGGCACCAGAAGAGCTCTGGTGAGGTCTGCTCCCTGATTTACAGATCCCCTTTGGGGTGCAGGATCTCATTCCCCTCAGACCAGAGCTGACATTTCTCTTGTGGCACATTTAAAAATCATCATCTGACCCTACTCACTGATGTTTTGAGCAATGAGGACTTTAAAAAGACATAGAAATTCTTGCCAACAATTGTAAAACTTGCCTTAGGGTGTTGGGATGCTAGTGGATATAGTCCTGCTGAGTCAGTTATGGGAGCTCTATCAGACATTGTAAATGCCAGTGTGGCATTATTTTATTTCATTGCTTTATAAAAACATTCTAATTTAATAACTTTTGGGTGTAATTCTTTACTATGGTTCAGATGTGTAAGTGATATAAAAGGTATGTTTTGGGAAATATTATCCCCATTTATCACTGCTCACCCCATTGCTTCAATCTCTAAATCTACCCACAGAAACGGCTCTTTCTTGGGTTTGTCTGTCCCCCTGGGGTTCATGTATTGTTAAAATGGCGATGATATCTAGTATTTGATAGAAAAGCAAGCAATCAAACCACTAAGGCAATTAATTGCTGCGTTTCTGGATCTGTCTCCACTGAAGTGTTTTTCTACAATGCTGATTAGCATCACCAAGGACAGTGGATGAGTGCTCCATAGAGAACCACATTTCCCACTCCCGGAAGGAAGATTATCGCTCCTGGGTTGGCCCTTAAAAATCATCTAGACTCATGCCACAATTAAACAATTTTTTTCACTTGAAATGATCCAGTTTTCAGGACTTGACAGAGCCAAACAATTTGCAGAAAAGGGACTTTATATTTCTCCTGATACTGTTTTTAGAAGAGGATTGAAAGTCATGGAAAAATGAAGAGCCTGATTCTCTTACTTACCTAAATCCCAACACATGGATTTCTTTGAATCCTGGAAGTTTCTTAAATGCCTTTTGCATCTGCGGAGAGAAAGAAATTTACAAACCCCTCTGCTGGGTCAGATCTCGCCTAACTGAAAACTGAAACAAGGGAAGCCAAACTCTATTATTACTTATTTATGAAATGGTTGCCTTTTGCTATTTCTTTACAAGCAATAATTAATAGTTTTCACTGGCTTTAGCTATTACTTTATGTAAAATGTGAAATAAGTTAGTAGTGCTTAGAGAAAATTTTTGGCTATAGAATTTTCACTCGCAGTACAAAATTTCCTGACTATGTAATTATGGCTGACTAATATTTTAACTGTTTTTCTAAAAAGATATGATATAGAAGATGTGTGTAACATTAAAGTATTAAATTCAAAGTTGTTAGTATAACTATATAAAATGGCAGGGACAGATTTTAATGCAATAGGTTTGTTCTTAGATTCATGTTGACTTGACAACAAATTTTTTTGATTAAGTAAGACTTTGTTCTAGAGGCCAGCTATCAGGATATTTTACAACTGCTGTACTCAACCACTACCTACCCAACATAGCCTAGCCTCTTTCCTGGATATCCCCAAGAGGGAATCCCATCACTTAGCTTCTGTGCTCTCTGAATCCAGGGCATTTTCTATTCCTCCTCTACAACATCCCTGTTATTCCCTGATTTCGTCTTCATATCCCTGCTCATTCAGTTTTCCTTGCTCTACCTTATGTCTGCTTTCACTTTGTAAACCTGAGGGGTTTGCAAGTTCCTGTTCTCAGCCGTCCCCTTGCCCCCCCCCCGCCCCCCCGCTTTCCTATTGATTTACTAAGCTTGATGGCAGGTTCTGTGCTAGCTCCTGGGGATGCTGTCACACATACCAGCACTTCCCCAAATAGCCTTCCGGTAGAAAAGCCTGGTGGTAGGATAGTTACTCAGGTGTGAAGTTTGGAAGGGAGAGCAAGGTGAAAGATGTGGTTGAACAAATGAATAGACACTTAGTCTTCCCTCCCTCTCATCTCTTGTTGGATGATCTGATGTTCTTAATGGGTTTCATGATTACCTAATACATAGCTTTGAGTAGTTTCCAACAAGAATATCCTAACATTCACCTGTAGCTAAACCCAAAATAAAATCCTTCTCTTCCCAAATCTGCCTTTCTTCCAGCCTCTCCCCTAGGCTATGAGAATACATCATTCTCCATTTCGGAAAGCCTGGCACTGCTAGGCCTGGCTTCTCCAGCACCCACGCACCCAACAGCTTCTGTTGGTGTGGGTCCTGCAATGGCTTTCACTTCCAAGTAGCAGCTTTACCATTCCTACCCCCACTTCCGTACTATGCAGTAGGCTTTTGTGCATGGGAATGCAGAAGGGGTGTAGAAAGGTTTTTTTAGATGTACTGGTGGGGATGAGGAGAATGGAGAAGGTATCTGTTTGACTACAGCTTTTTTCTGAACTAACAATCTCGTCATTCAGTAAAAATATCTGGATTGATTCTGCTGCCTCTTGGGTCTTCACCTTATTGCCCTACCTCTAATACCTTACCATTTGCACTTCCTGCCTTTGTTATCCGCTGAGGCAATACTGTGTTCTTTATTGACACCAAACTGACTCGTGTATGCAGGGATACATGAGCCCCTGCATACAATATACACATCTACTTCTCCAGGCCCATGTGAATTTGTCTCAGCCAAGATGCAAGATCTGAAACCTTCTGCTCATTCAGTGCTTCTCTTACCCACTCCTAATTTCTATGCTAGACAGAACACCTTCCCTACTAAGAATTTGTAGATCTCTTAAGTCTCCCAAAAGAAGTTCCATTATTTCTGCTTTTACTTTAGGGCTGATTACTGTAATGCCCCATGAATGTCCATGAAATACATGCCAATATCCTTCACTGGTCTCAGGGACCAGATCTTGTGTATTCAAGTTTACCTCCCTCCTTCCCAGCATCTTGCAGATGGTCAAATAGTAAGGACTCAGCAATTATTACTTCAGTTGAATTTCTCTTCATTTGCTAAGCTCATCAGTGTGCCACTGTGTTGTCATTGTATCTAAAATTACTTCTGCCTATATATCATCCATGCCAAGGACCAGAGAGCAATGAAACAGATAATTCCCAAATCACTTCTGTGGAGCTTTGAAGTACATCCTGACATTTTTTCCCCCAAGCAGACGGATTTGCTTCCTAATTTTATTTTCTTGTGCCAATATTAAAAATAGTTTTCATTTCCTGAACGCATAAGAACTGAAGTGATGAGAAGATGCTTGTGTGGGCTTTGGTTTAAGTACTGATTCTATTTTCTAGCGGTGTGAGCTTCAGTTTATTACTTAGTCCCTCTAAATCTTGATATACTTAGCCAGAGTTGGAGAAAAATACACCTTAGAACTGCTGTAAGACACAGCTAGGCCTAGAGTGGGTATTATTGCACTGTGTGTTGCTTATTCACTACCTCTCCTGCTGGGATACTAGCTTCCTGAGGGCTTGATTTCCTCTTATTTCCCCAGTGACCACACTGTTTGGAGCCTGGAAAGGGCAGAATAAGTCATCAGGTGTTGTAGAAAGACTCTGCAGGATGGGGGCCCCCACGGAAGATAGGAGCAAGCTCATGGGCTGAACAGAACCAGGGGTTATGGGTTTACATGGCTGGTCTGCATTCTTATTGAGGAATATCATGTGCAGAGATGTCCTGTGCACAGGTTCCAGGTCTGGTGTGCCATCCTGTGACAAGGAGCTTTGGGCTACAGAGCATTTGTCATCCTGTTCCAGGAATAGAACCAGGTGCTTAACATTTAAATATGAGCTGCAGTCTTCGCAGCAGGTGAGCTAGTGTCTGATGCCAGAGGTGCGGTTAAACATAAAAAAAAAAACAGTCCATCAAGTGCAATATTGCCTGGGACGTCCTATAGCAGTTGCAGCATTGGCAACAGGCAACACTGCTGGGGTGGGCTGTCCCCCTACTCAAGATTTCCCCATGCCCCTGGTGTGGCTGGGGTTCATTGGTGTGTCCATGCCTTGTTTGTGAACCTGTGCATGATTAAGAATCAGCACTGTTTAGAAAGCTACAGGGGCTCTCTAGGGAGGAGATGACAAAAGCCTTCAGTTAATTCGGCTAAATAATCTTCTTGGGGACTTTCCAATCATGGAGCACTAACCACTAGATTGCTAATTAAGTGCCCAGTTAACCTTATTAATAGTGCTAAATGCACAAGGGTTTCCCCGATTCTGCTGGAATGTACATTAACGGGGCTATAAAAAGGCAAGCATGTGGAGTTCTTGGGAATATTTGCTCAGGAGAAAGCATTCAGACAACAACTAAGCGATTCTTGTTGACATTTGTATTAAATTGCTCATTAGGTTTATTGTGAAAATTAAATTACTGCAAGGCACTGTCCATTAATTCCTGATTAGGCCCGAATGGCTGTGCTAATGCAGGCATTGTGCTGTGTTGGGGCTGATAGTTTAGCTGACACCGGGCTGTGTGGTGGTGGGGTCCTGATTGGAAATTTGGAAGGGAGTCACAGGCTGTAAACTTCTGCTTTCGTCTCTGGCTCCATCTTGGAGAAATCAGCAGCTGTACCAATGGAACCAGCAGGACTGATGTGAGGCATCTCTGGAATAAGACTTGAAAGATGTACCCTTTCTAGCCAGAGTCTTTCACATGTCGTAAGGGACAGGTCCTGATGACATGGTGGTCTTTCCCGAGAGGTAATCATTTGTGAAAAATTAGGTAGGTTTAGCATCATGATTTCAAGCAAGGATTCTTGTTTGCTAGGCTACTAGAGCTGGAATCTTGCTCTGTGATATAGTGGATGTGGTTTCAATGGGATCTACTGGATCTAATGTGATTCAATTCCTTGTGTTTTAATTTCTTCATTTACAAAGTAAGAAAAATATTATTACTTACAGGATAAACCAGATGTGCTATGTTTACAAGATTAAGAATACTACCATTATTTACTTGGCAATTTAGACTTGGAAAGGGACAATGATGTCATCCTCAATTTTCAAGAGAGGATACGGGTCAGGGAGAGTAAAGAATCTCCACATTCCCATGGCTCATTCTGGGCAGAAATAGGACAGGACTCTGGCATATACAAATCCAAATGTGTTTTCATTTCAGATTATTTAAGGTGCTTAAAAAATCACAGGTTAATGAAACCTCGGACAATGCTCTAACTGAAATTACTGATTATATTGTCTTTGCTGAAAATTAAAAAGAAACAAATGAAAAAGTCAAGAAGCTTTTAAAATTTTACCAAGATATTCATGTCAAGTACTTCCACTACATATATACGTCTATTGAATATTTTTCTTTTAAGTTTTAAGAAATAATTCTATATTAGCAGAATGCCAATTCAGGGGGAGGTGGGAGGCCAAGATTGTTTTACTGCTGGACCTGGCGTGATGACTGAGTTAGCTGGTCCTTCCCATGCAAACTCTTGGATCCCATATAAGTGCTGTTAGATGTCCTGGTTGCTCCACTTCCAGCCCAGCTCCCTGCTTGTTGCCTGGAAAAGCAACAGGGGATAAGCCAAAGCTTTTGGACTCTGCACCCACATGGAGTATCTGATGAAGCTCCTGGCTCTGGATTGGTTCTGCTCTGGAAGTTGTGGCCATTTGGGGAGTGAACCAGCAGATGGAGGATTATTTTCTTCTTCTTGTAAATCTTTTTGATAAAAATAAATTTAAAAAATTTAGCACTATTCTCATTTCCTCTATGAATGAGAAGAAAGTGTATTATATACTCTAAGTATGGTAACTAAAAGCCCATGTGTTCTCTTAGCCTGAGTAAGATTCATGTATATTCAATCTATCCATGGACATAGTTCATAATTAGTCTCATGGAAGTTTCTATTTTCACTTGTATTTCCTTTTTTTGTGGTTTTTTTTTTTAAAGATGTGTTTTTATTGGAGAGGCAGGTCAGATTTACAGAGAGCAGGGATAGACAGAAAGACCTTCCATCCACTGCTTCACTCCCCAAATGGAGTCAAATGCTGGAGCCATGCAGATCCAGAGCCAGCAGCTTCTTCTGGGTCTCCTACCTGGCTGCAGGGTCCCAAAGCTTTGGGGATCTTCTACTGCTTTCCCAGGCCACAAGCAGGGAGCTGGAGGGAAATGGAGCACCTGGGACATGAATCAGCACCCATATAGAACCCTGGAGCACTTCGGTTGTATTTCTATGAACAATTTCTGAGTGGTAAAGTCCACACTCTACACTGGGCATTGAAAGAGTTCCAGCTCTACAGGAGAGGCTTATATTGTACAGGTAGTGAGGGTAACAAAACAGAAGGGAGGTGAAAATACAGCAGAGGGCCCAAACATGCAAGCAAGAAGTCTCAGGACAGCGGCCATTAGGGTGAGGTGAGTGCAGCAGGGAGGTGTGATACCAGAATCGGTAGAGGACATTTTCCATGTTAAAAGCAGTGCATCTGCAGGCGAAAAATAAGGAAAATTTGCAAATCCTTTGTATGAGGGGATCTTCACAAAGTTTGTGGAAAATGGTTTATGAAAGAAAATTAGTGAATTTAGAAAATATTTTACAATGAAATGAACATATTTTCTATTTTTCCACATGGTTTTGAAGTACCTTCATAGTTGTAGGAACTAACGTTTAGAGGAAGAAGATGGGAAATCAGTGCAGCCGAAAAAGAAGGTACAGACTCATAGATGCCATATTGAGTATCATAGCTGGGAAACTGAAGAGCATTTAAATTTAGTAAGAAACAGAATATGATAATTATCATAGATGGAAGAGAATTCTTGGGAAAGTGGTAATCCAGTAATTGAGGACATGTACAAGATAATTGCCTTACACTATTACCCATGAAAAATGTCATGGTTTATATTCATTAACTATAAAACTGGAGATACCATGTAAAGACAAAATATTATGAAGTAAAATTCGTACTTCAGCCCAGCATGTAATATAGTTGGTGTCTATGTGATTACTTTAATTCACTTCATCAAAGTAGGATTAGCATACGAAATACCATACTAATGTAAACATACGTTGTTCAATTCAGGAATTGTTATATACTTGTGAAACCACCAGCCATCAATACCTGCGTAGTACTATTCAGTTAAATCTAAAGACCTAACTATATTTAAAGACAATCTAAACGGAATGGAGAACTTTCCATGAGATCAAGTTGTGTGACTATTTTTATTTTTTATTGTTTTTTTTTACCTTTGTGCCTCTTGTATTCTTTCTGGCTAAAATAATGAATGCCTGGAGACAGCTGTTTAGTTCATAGTTAAGACATTACTTGGGATACCTGCAATCCATATTGGAGTGCCTGGGTCCGTGCCCCGACTCTTCTCAGATTCCAGCTTCATACTAATGTGTGCCCAGGGAGGCAGCTCCTGATGGCTCAAGTACTAATATCCCTGCTACTCATATGGGAGATGTGTAGTGAATTCTAGTCACCTGGCTTTAGCCTGGCTCAGTCCTAGGTAGACAGTTCAGAAGTAAACCAGTGTGGGGTATATCTCTCCACCTTTTAAATAAATACATAAAGAAATGCCTCATTAGAAGAAGTGGAGCTTACGGTCCATTGACTACTGGGTTTTGAATTGTGACTTGGGATGTGTTTGTGCAGGCTGTCTCTACTTACCTGAAGTTGTGACTTGACTGCTACCTCCTGGTAGTATGGCGACTGGGAGTCAGAGAGCTCTGTCTTGAACTTCTGGTTAGCCAGAGAGATGCTAAACTCCACTTTCTCCAGTAGGTCCTTGGAGACATTATGTCTCCATGTTTCTCTTTCCTGATTGAAAATAAAACAAAAAACCCAGGAATTCCATTAGTTTATCCCATAAGTAAATGGGATAATTATAACATACATGTGTTTTATCTCAGAGTACATCAACAAGGTTCAAGTGCTTTTAGGACAAAGACCCTTTTATGTGTGGTGGTCTCTGAATTTCAATGGGAAACAATTTAGCAGTATGAGTTAACTATTTAAAGTCCTTAAATACTGTCATTTTGTGATGGGTCTTCCTGAAATTATTTACACACCTCCATACTCGAATGGTTCAAACTTTTATGTGCTTCTTTCTCACTCTCCTCTGTCTTGCCCCTTCCCTCACTGGTGCATCAAGATTCTATCACATCATTGTTTGACTCTAGAAATACTTGTTCAGGATTTGATTGAATTAGACAAAACATCTGAGTGCTGAAATAATGCTTCCTAGAAGAGTCTGGACTGGCTTTATGATGGTTGGTTGAACTTCACATTGAAACCCACTAGAAAGTACTATCAAGCCAGGAGAGCATTTGACGATTCTCTCAAGAATGGCATAATTAGCCAGCCTTGGAGGCGGACCTAAGTATCTGGTGGTGGCCTGATGGCAATGGGCAAGCAATCCTCTCCTTGTCCTCTGGTTTGGGAATGACCAGGAGCCTTTCACTGCTCAGAATTCACATGAGCTCTCAGGGCACAGATTAGACCCTGAGCTGTGTTTCCAAAATGGAGTTTGATGGGTTTTAAACTTTGTATTCTCAGATGCTACTGAGGTTGGTATAGCTTTCTCAAAGTTAGAGATGCTTACTTAAAATTACATGTCTCTGGTTACATATGTTGTCTCATAATAAAATCCAAGTTAAGGAAATTGAAAGAATAACCAGTGATATTGTCATGGAGGTCGGGGGGTGTATTTTCTTTCATTTTTGTTAAAATATAGCTTCCATAACTGAATAGTAGTGACATCTAATTTGAGTAGGGCACGTGGAGAATGTGGATTCACATATAGTAGGCTATAGAGATTATTAAAAATGATTTTCACTTGTTCACTCCAAAAACATATTAATCTGTGTGGGTATAGCACAGTGATACATCTATGGGATGGTAAAACAGTAGTATACAGAATTATTCTCCAGAAGCTTACTATTTAGGCAAGTTTCAGGTTTATACAAAATACGTGAATGAATTATTTAAAGGTATAAGCTAGAAGTTACTCTCAGCTATTGGATTTATTTGTATTTTATTTTTTAATGAAACATTTTTTAAAAATTTTTTTACTGCAAAGTCAGAATTACGGAGAGGAGAAACAAAGATTTTCCATCTGCTAGTTCATTCCCCAAATGGTCCAATGCCTGGAGCTGAACCAATCTGAAGCCAGGAGCCGGGTCTCCAATGCAGGTGCAGGTTCCCACGGCTTTGAGCCATCTTCTACTGCTTCCCAAGACCACAAGCAGGGAGCTGGATAGGAAGTAGAGCAGCCAGGATATGAACTGGCACTGATATGGTATCCTAGTGCATGCAAGGTGAGGATTTTAGCCACTAGGCTACTGTGCTGGGCCCATAATTAAATTTGACTGATAAATAATTGAGTGTATTTTTGGGGTGCTGAGTGTTTGATACATGATTACAATGTGGGGTGTTTAAATCAGACTAGTATAGTCCTCACTATACAAACATGTTTTTTGGGGTGAAAGCATTTAAAACGTTTCAGAAGTTCTGAACCATACAACTTATTTCTTGTGCAATAAATCAAGAGTTTATTCCTTTTGTGCAACTGAATTGGTGCATTCTTTAATCAACATCTCTTTATGCCCGATTCTCTCCCCAGCCACTGGGTGGAGTGTTATGTTTACTGCCTACACTTATTAAAATATTAAAATGCAAATTTTCCATTCCTTTCCCATGGCAATTTTGGAGACTCCCTATCATCTATGAAATAAAACCTGAATTTTTGGAACTGGTGTAATGGCACAGTGAGTTAAGCTGCTGCCTGCAGTGCTTGTTCAACTGACACATATATCGGATTATAGTTGAAGTTCTAGGTAGATCCCTTCCAACCAAGCTCCTTGCTAATGTACCTGGGAAAGCTGTGGAAGATGCCACAAGTGCTCTGACCCTGAAGCACAGGCAGGACATCTCTATGCAGTTCCTGCTTTCGCATGGCCCAGCTTGACTGCTGGGACCACGTGGGGACTGAATCAGTAGATGGAAGACATCTTTCTCTGTGTCCCTAACTCTTTCCTTAATTTTTAAAAAAGAGATTTCATTTATTTGAAATGCAAAGCTATAAGAAGACAGATATTCCATCTATAATTTTACTTTCCAAATGGCCACAATGGCCAGTGCTGGGTCAGGCTGAAACATTGAGCTTCATCTGACTTGCCATGAGTTGAGTGGCCCAAGTATTTGGGACCTCTTTGACTGTTTTCCCAGGTGCCTTATCAGGGAGCTGAACTGGGAATAGGACAGCTGACAATCAAACTGGTTCCCATTTGGACTGCTATTGCAGATAGCAGGTTAACCTGTGCCACAATGCCGACCCCCAAAAAATCATACAAATTTTTTTGTCTGGCAATACTCTCCTTAATCTGATTTTAACTTGTTTGACCAATTTTAGTTTTGCTTCCATGCCTTGACTTCCAAATTTCTCAGATAGCACATGTTATGCTCTTGAGCAAATCCCTGTTCCCATTTCCAGCAAAAATAATTGCCTACCACCTCTAACACAATGCACATTCACACAAGCATTTTTGACTTTTAACTGATACCCCTTGGTTCATGTAAAATAGTTCTCCAGGGAACAGTTAAATCACTGCTAATACAGCTACTTCCTAGCCTGGTTCCTGACCCAAGCACGCTACTTCTCATCTGGCTTTGGACCAGTGCCTTGGGGAGGCAGCAGACAATGAATCAATAACTTGAGTCCCTGCCATACATATGGGAAAACTGGGTAGAGTTCCAGTTTCCTGGATTCAGCATGGCCCAGTTCCGTCAGTGGAGGGTATTTGCAAGATGAGCAACAGATGGAAGAGCTCCTCTTTCTAATAATTTAAAAGTAATAATAAAAAAATTCTGACCATTGAGGGCTGAAGAGATCTTGATTTCCTGTGAACTCTGCAGACACATTGGGCATTTGGATGTTAATTTATCAAAAAGTCACATAGAATCTTTCCATGGGTATTCTGTCCACTCCCCCCGCAACCCCCGTATTTATGATCTGGATCTGGATCTGGATCCTGCCTGGCTCTTACACATTATTGAATCTCTCAAAGCAAACACTTTGGGTTCATTTATGGCACACATGGCAAATATACATTACTAAAGATTGTATTTCTATTGCTTCCTGGCTTATTTTGTTCCAGTAAACACCTGACAGCTTCAGTTACAGTACTTAAACTTATTTTGCTGTACTTAATTGTATTATATTTTCTGTGCAGGCTGTGACTCTCATTTATCTTAAGATTTTCAGTGCATATTCAGTGCCTAGCAATTAGAGGATTTTCATAAAGTGTCTGCTGAATGAAAGAGTAAGTAATCAATGCAGGTGGCAGAAACGATGTTAAAAGAAACATGCCATGAATGTGAAACGAAAAATTTAGCCAATCCTCGAGGATGGGACTCTATTAGAGATTTCTCAAGACAAATCATGTTACTTACTCTCCTTCAGACTTTATTGGAGACAGGGCTGGTGGAGTGATTTCACGGATTCTGGGAGCGATTGTCTAACAGTGTTCTCCTTAATCTGCTTCCAACCTGTTTGACTAATTTTACATTTGCTTCCATGCCCTGACCTTCAGGTTTCTCAGGTAGTGCCTGTGATGCTCTCCTTAATCTCCTTAAGGTTGCACTGGCAGTACTGAGAAAAGAAGAATCACATTCTGGTTCACCATTTCTTACCCTACTGGCCCACGTGGCACTTGTTCAGCATTTGCTGCCATGGCTCTACTACCTGTGCAAAATCAGTGTTTTGACACTTTAGCACTGAGTGTCTAGTCTTGATTTTTCTGGAAGGTTAAATTTTTCTTGCTTTTGGGAACAGCGTTGTGGCATATCAGGTTAAGCCAATGTCTGCAACTCTGGCATCTCTTAATGTATGCCAGTGTGAGTCCCAGCTGCTCCACTGCTAATGTATCTGGGAAAGCAGTGGAAGGTGGTCCTACTGCTTGGGCTCCTACACTCATGTGGGAGACATGGACAAGGCTTCAGGCTCCTGGCTTCTGTCTAGTCAGTCTAGCACCTGCTGGACCGTTTGCAAAGTGAGTCATTGAAAGATCTTTCTCTACTTTTCCTAATCTTTCTCTAGAATTCTGCCTTTTGAATAAAAGAAATCTTAAGGAGAAGGTATTATGTAATGCTGTGTTGCTTTGTATATTGCTATTTTTGATAATCCACATCCAAACCATAGCAGTTGATTTTCTCTCAAGGGCTCATGTGTTTGAATTGAGGCATTGTCCTAAGGGTGAAGTGGTGGGGAGAGCAAGGGGCAGGAACTGGGGAGAGGTTCCTGAGGTATGGGGCCCAAGCCCTGCACATGAATGCTGATCCCCTAGAGTGAGCTCTGAAAAGAGCTGGTCATTAGAAAGTGTAAGTTAGACTACTAAACAGTCTTTCTGGCTTCTTAGGAAGTGGGGTCTCTTTCTACCACACACTCCTGTACTTTAGCTATTGCTTTCTGCCAGGAGGTGATGCCATTGAGGGAGCCTTCTGGAGATTGCACCATTTTGTTGGGAATTTCATTCTCACTGTGAGGTAAACAAGCCTCTGTTCTTTATGGAGTTATTATGTTTTGGTTATTTCATTCTAGAAATGAGACATGGACTGACACACCACTGCGTTTTGTTATGAACAGTTCTCTTGTCCTGCGTACCTTTTTCATCCATAATAGTGACCAATGCACCTCTTTACCACAGAACACTTTATATCCCACCCTCCCCAGTCTTACAGAGGATATTTTGATAGGTTTGTTACCTCTCTGACCTATTCATGCTGAACATCACTGAGAACAGAGGCCCTATTCCTGCCATCATTTATATTTTAGTAGAGAGAGTGCTCTATTGCCTGATCGATTCATTGTAATGTTTATGAGTACCCATCATATACAAGGTGCTGTGAAGTGCTGGGTGGAAAGCATCCCTATCCTCCAGCGATAACTAAGCTGCTTCTGATTCTTCCACCTTGGCCTGGTGTTCAAACTCTTAGTTCCTAGGAAGAAGTGAGGAAAACCAAAGAGCACGAAGTCAGTGATTCTTGACCAAAGTGGTACACATCAACACCAAGAGTGCTGGATGACCAGTCCACCTATTCTCTTCCGCTAGAGAAACATAAATGAGCACATGGAGGAAAAGACAGACTCCCCATGATTCTTACAGTTGGAGGCTTCTTTGTCTCTTGGAGGGTATAGTTGAGGATTTCATTGAGGTGTGTGTCAGCAGGAGAGGGAAGGAGGGGTGCAAGTGAGGCAACATCTGTGAAAATGAAGAAAAATTAGACATGAGAGTGAGGCTAGAGATAGTTCCTATTTTTTAAGACTTATTTATATATACAAAGAGGAGTAGAGACAGAGGAAGATCTTCTGTCCCATGGTTCACTTCCCAAGCCGCCGCAACGGCTGGAGCTGAGCCTATCCAAAGCGAGGAGCTCCTCCAGGTCTCCCAGGCAGGTACTGGGTCCCAAGACATTGGGTTGTCTTTGACTGCTTTCCCAGGCCACAAGCAGGGAGCTGGATGGGAAGCGGGCCTGCCGGGATTAGAACTGGAGCCTGTACGGGATTCTGGCGCGTGCAAGGTGAGGACTTTAACCACTGGGTTACTGTGCCAGGCCGGCTAAAGTGGTTTAAACTAGGATAAAATAATTCCACATGCTATTTTTGTGACTGAAATGTATAGATGTTAGATGCATTTAGAACTCATTTAAGATCATCTAACTATGTTCTTCAGGAAAATATGTAACTCACACTCTGGATACCAGTAAAGTTCCTTATCCTGTGTAAAACCCAACTTTGGTGCTCCTATCTATGTTATGGTCAGTTGGTTCTGCCTAATGACACCTGATGAAGTTTTTTCTGTAACCACATAAAAGATTCATAGTCAAATTTTTACCTAAATTCATTCCCCTGAAAATTTTCCAAGAATTTTAGAATTGTTCAATAATAAATGAGGCATTAGAGCTCTACTCATGTAATCCAAGAGAACATTGAACACTGAGATGATATCAATTCCATCCCCTCTTAAATAATCACCATAAATCATCTCAGGAATGTAGCAAATGTTTTCACATATTTAAATATCCCTGTATAATGGGAATCTACCCTCTACTGAGATGAAAAAAGGCACGCGGTATACTACAAATGTATCACTATTTCATAGTAAATCTTCCTATTAAAAATACTTTGGAAAAAAATGTTACTATGATCAGTTGGTTTTTACTTAGCCAAAAATTGCTATCCATCTTAATCTTAACTAGGAAAAAACCATAAGAATGTATTAGGTTATTCTTGTGCTTTGGGATACAGGATTACTAGAAGATGATTTGATGGTTGTTTGCTCCCTGAACAGTATGCATTTTCCTGCATCTGCAATCACAAATGACCACTCATCAAGGAGATGCTGTGAAATAACCAAACAGCATGTGGAGTCATGGTGGGTATTGGAGCTGTGAGGTACAGAATATTGCAATCATCCAGGGAGGAGGGCTTTTTGATTGTTGATCTTAATGACAAAGGTGGCCTGTAGTATCAGAATATCAAAGGGTGCAATTCCTGGCATCTTGTTTTGACCCATGCTGTGAGCAATTGATGAGTATGATCTTCACCTGGGACTTCACCAGGCTGTTACTAAGGTATCTTCAAGCTTTATGATTCTAAGAACAATTGTTTCATAGCACATTTTTGTTATAATAAAGCAAGTGCTTGGCTACTGTGCTAAGAGAACAAATACAGTATCATGCTTGATATTCTTCCATTTTCTTGTCATGAAAAGAAATGTCATCTAGGTCATTGAACAACTATTGGGTAGATTTGGTTTAACTTGTAGTGCAGTTAGCTTGCTTTGGAAATCGATCACTTACTTCACACAAGCTACACAGAAAATTTCCCTATTAACAATAAACTTTCTGAAGATTAAGTTTAACAGAAAATAGTTTATTATAACTGAAATTCAGTTGCAATGAATGTCTTATACTGTTCAGTATTTTCTTCTAGTGTGTGTTTTTTAAGGTTGAGGGTTAATGCAAAAAAGAGGCAACTTTAATTTTTAAGCTGCCAGCTTGTATACCAAACTTCTGCTATTTTTGAAAAAATATTGATGATGGAGAAGGCCCAGATGCAGAAAAAGTTAGGAGAAGAAGTAACTGAGTTAAGACGTAAAGGTATTCTTGAATTTGTATCATTGAAGATTTTCCACTTTTTTGTATGTCTTTACTTATGCTAAGTCTTTGACAAGCAAGAAGAGAATTTTACCATGTTTAGAGTCTAATTCTTTTTGCAGCTGCTATTCGAAAATAATCTTGACAGCTGAAGTACATATAATTGAACCTTACCCTTGAGTGTCCAGAAGCATTGGGGAAATAAACTTTAAAACCTTTACTGCTCAAGTCGGGTTTACATTGTTAGTATTTTATTTTATTTCAATAAATCATTTAGTAAGCTTCCACCCGCAGTATCAATATCTCATATGGGCACCCAGTTCATGAACCAGCTGTTCCACTTCAATCCAGCTCCTGGTCTGGGAAAGCAGCAGATCATGGCTTAAGTCCTTAGGTCCATACATCCATGTGGGAGACCTGAAAGAAGCTCTTCACGCCTGGGTTCAGATCAGCTCAGCTTTGGCTATGGTGATCATTTAGGGAGTGAACCGGTGGATGGAAGATTTCTCCATCTCTCCTTCTCTTTCAAATAATAGCAAATAAATCTTAGAAAATGAAACCAGGTTCAAGCATTTGCTTGAGATAGAAAGGCAGAGAGGGGAGGGAAGGAAGGAGGGAGGGAGGAAGATAGAGGGGAGCGAAGGAAAGAGAGAGAGAGAGCCATAGAGCATACCAGTCCCATCCACAAGTTTATTCCCCAAAACTTGAGGCTGAGCCTCGATAAAGCCTGGAGCTTGGAACTGCATCTGTGCCTGCCATGTGTGTTACAGGAACCTGAGATCCTGAGGTTTCAGGATTGCTTCCCAGGTCATCAGCAGTAAGGTGTACTCAGAGGCAAAGCTAAGATTCAAAGGCAGGCACTCTGGTAGGATGTAGGCATTCTGAGCAGTGTCTTAATCATTACACTAAATGTCTGCTCCAATGTGAAGCAATTTTTTAAAATATAACTTCCTTCTGTAGTAGTTTTCTTAAGATTTTAAATGTTATAGGTCAAAGTTAGGTTGCTTATAAAGGAAATGAACAATTACACATGTCTTTACTGTTAAAGATTGTTTTACTAGTAATGGTTTCATACTTTTGGCTGGGTTAGGATTGTTTTATGAGCTACAAAGTGTAGACATAAGGAAAATTTAATATATTCATGGAAAATGGAATTAGTTTTTGACTCAATTTTGACATCCATTTTTATAGTCACACTTTTCAATGAAATTTTTAGAATAGCTTTCACAGGCTTGGCTTCAAATATTTTTGCACCAAAATTAAACTTGTCTTGTAATTCATTTCCTATAAACTTCTTAAAATATTTTATAATCACAACAGGTTTCTTTTAATGACAGTAGGTTAAAGAAATGGGGAAGTTATACTAAAAATTTAAAATCTCTTCAATTTCTAGATTTCAAGTAATCAAAATTTAATTTCCTAAAACATTAATGTAATTAAAAGTTATCAGGAAAATATTTGATAACTATTCTTGAAGTCCCATGGGAAAATGTTAAGACTGTAACAGAAAATATATGAGAAATTCTAAACATGTAATATACACAGGAAATATTTCCTTTTGGCAAACATCAAAACAAATATTTACTACTGGCAAATTGGAGTGAGATAGGCCCTTGTTTTGATTAGCAGGTTACTAAAATGGAAATAAAATTTTTGGAAAATAAATTTGGCAAAATCTCTTAAAAGGCTTTAGAAGTCACATTCATACTTTAGTAATCAATTTTAAAGAATAACAGTTATGTGTCTAAGTGTTATTTAAGCATTATTTATAATGGTATCAGTTAGCAATGAGTGGTTAAATTTAAATTACATGGAACCAAATAGAATGTTGGAAGTCATTTAATTACTTGAGTAAGTTTTTCTGGAACTATTAAATGTTGGAAAGATGATAAACTTTAAGGATGTATGGTCTCAGTAATAGTGGATAGAAGAAAGATAAGAAACACAAAATAATAGTTCCCTTTAAATTGAAGGCTACTCAATGTTTTGGCTTTATCTTTTTACATTAAACTAGTTTTAGACAATGAATTTAGATTATTTGTAAGATAAATGCAAGCTCAGTTTGGGAAAGTAGATTATCTGCGGACCTGAAGTAAGGATTGCTTTGTAAATACTGATGTATTCATATTAGCTTAAAGTTCAGAAGGTAGAGGTGAGTGTTTAGACTTGAGACTAAGACACCAGATAATATGCCTGTGTCCAGGGTAGAAGTACCTGGGTTTGAGTTCTGGCCCTGGCCCCAGATTCTAGTTTCTTGTTGATGTGTTCCCTGACACATGGCAGCAGCTGCCTCAGTCCTGGACTAGGTTTTGGGCTGGTCTAGCCCTCGACATGGCGAGTATCTGAGTAAAGCAGCACATATAGGAACTCCCTTGTCAAATTAGAAAGTGGATAGGATGAGAAGATCTGATCTTACCTGTTGAAAATGCCCGGATTTCATCAGACTTTCCCAATGTCTCCTCTGTAGATATTTCGTCTTTTCTATTAGCACAATCAAAAAGAAGAGTTTGTGAAGGACCCTGATAACATTTGGAAACATATATTTAAGTTTGTCTATATTGAATAAGCCAAACAAACTAGGGATTTAAAACTGGATTTACATATCTTTCAAATATTGCAAATCACAGGGGTAGTATTAGAATGCATACTCATTGAAGAAAAATATAAACAACTTTGCGAAATGATTGTTTGACTACTAGGTTTCCACCATCATCTTGGCTGCATGTGGCCTTGGAGTTTGTACAGTTGGCAAAGCTTGTCTTCAGCTCCTGATGTTTTGTAGTCAGATTGTACTTGCCTTGTACTTATACTAAAAATGAACGGCATGATTTATAATAGAAATATTCTTGAAAAAATCAGCTCCTCAGGCCTGCAAATATGTGAGGTCATCCAATTTAATGAAGTAATTGCTGTGGTTATGGTAAGGGACACAGGTAGATTTCTGGGTAGCAAATACTAGATGTGTATTCTGGACACAATCATTGCTTGCAATAGTGATCAGCCAGGAAGTTGGGGTAGGTTTGAAATAACATGGAATGGTAGTGTGGAAGGTATTCTAGAGGCAACTCCAGGGTCAGTGGGGGCAGAACTATCTGTGCATAATATTGATCCAGTCTAGAAAGCTTAATGTAAAAAGGAGCCGATATAATAATTTTTGCAGCCCAATGAAATATTTGTTACTATATGATAGAATTGTGTTTGTGTTGACACATTATGTGGCAATTAATCAATATTCCTAAATTGCTTTTGGAAAGCGAAAGGAAATGGCTACAGCTTCACTTGTTCCGCAAGCATCCAGATGGGTCATAGCAAATCGTAGCACCTACATTTTTCTACCACACTCAATTCACGGAGTACAAATAAGTGTAATAAAATATTATCATCCTGGCATGGAGTTTGACCCAATAAAATGAATGTTTGTTAAAAAATGCATAACTATATTGGTGCACACAGGTAAAACAAACTTGGATTTCATGGTAAAACTTCGAATCTGCTATTCTTGCTATTCTAATACAACATGAGGGAACTGCAACAATTTCATTGAATAGAATTAGAAGCTAATGTGCATTTCCACGACCTTTTAAACATATCTTTGTATGTGCTTAGCAAATATTTGTATGGAAATCATAAATAAACCCTAACTACAACAAACATGGTAACTATAACAGATGAATTTTTATTTTTGTGTCATAGATTCTTGTTGACTGTTAAGATCTCCTAATTTCTTTTTTGCTTTGAAAAAGAAAATAACCTAGGAGAGTAGTTAGGAAAGTGGTGCCCACGGCATTAGCCACAGGTCAACAGCCCACCTTGTGCAGAGTCCTGTGCTGGGTGCCCATTCTTGCCCTTGGTGATTAGGTATAGCTTGGCTGCTAAACTGGCAATCTCTACCACTGCCAAGGAGTCGCACTTTAGGAAGCCAGATCACTCAGATATTCCACTAACTTACACGTCAAAATCATTTTGAAGCTGGTAGATTGGTGGCCTTGTCAGGTGAGAAAAATGTGTTTTACATTCTGGGAAGATTTGAAGTAAACATTTTTTTCCTCTATTTTTAATCTAGTCTTCATAGCTAATGTAAAAATTTCCTCCCTTTTTCTTGAGCTCAAGCTATGTTGGCAGGTACAGGAGTAGATGGAATGATTCTATTTCTGTCTTTCTGGCTTGGGTAGCTTGCTTTTTAAAGTTTATAATATTTATCAACACTTATTTAATTTTGACAGTGATTTTCCTTAGCAGTGGCTTCTGCCCTACTTTATTTACTGTTTATTTTTGAAGATGAGTCAGTAGATAACCCTGTGTTTAAATTAGTCCACATCCCTGTGCCTTGGGAACAAAGTTAATATTGTAGCACAGAGATTTTCCTATCAAAGTCTAGCCTTGCAATAGGTTTGCCAAATTCCTAAAACAGTGACTGGACACATGCAAATGATTAACAAAATAAGCACTTTGATCAGTATTGTGCAGTAGTTGGAGAAATTATGAGACAATTTGAGGTTTGACTCTTGAGTTTATATTCTCTCAAGGAAACAAGATAAAGCAAGGAAATTTTAAAAAGTAAGTGCCAAATAGAGTACAAAGCTCAGTGTGAGGAGAGATTATTGCAGGCACAAACAGGCTGTGAAGGCATCAAGGAAGGCAGGACTAGAGCTTGAAAGAGTAGGATTTTGATAGATAGGATGGGAAAGAAAGCCTTGCAGACCCTAGGGAGAGAGGCCTAGGGTTAGAGCTGGGAGGAAGGGAGTGTGGATCTTGGGAAGCGAGAAAGTGCCTTGCTGGCAACAGTGGGGTCAAGGGTAAAGAGGCAAAGTTGAAGGCCAAGGGCAAAAATGTCTTAGTTTGGTTTCCACCTGGTGAAGATATCTACCAGGACAAATTCATTCATAGTGTAATAATGTGAGAAATTTGAATACGGAGTGTTTCCTAGCTTGTGGGAAGAGTATAAGAGTACCAGTGCATAATGATAATGAAGTGCTGCAGCTAACTGCAGGCTGGAGGGATGAGAGGACACGGAATGAGGAAGAGGGAAGGATCTGTGGATAGGGCTGCTGGATAGGAGCTGAGCTGAACTTGAAGGAGACCAGTAGCATGCCAAGATCTGACAGATGTTGTGTTTGTGGATATGTGAAAATAAGCTGAGCTCGCTCGCCTCTGATTCTGCTCTCCTTGTCAGGGGCTGCCCTGCTCAGAAGACAGAGGGTTCTAATGATTCAGGACCTGCCATTCAGTTCCTTGCTCCAGAGGCAGGTGGAGAAGGCTGGGGAGCGAATATGGAGAGGGGCAAGAAGAGGTGGGATCCTTCTGAGCCATGGAGCAGGGCTCATGTAACAAAATGAATATTCCATGCTAATTATTCTAGTATCAGTTATGCAAATTGAAGAGAGATTTGAATCAAGGACAGAGATCAGAGTTAGAGATCAGAGATCAGAGTAGACATTTTTCAGAGTAAATTCATGAAGTCCTGGGCCAGGTTGATGTCAAAATGGGAATGAAAAAAAAAATGTAAAAGGCATTGTAAATACTTTGACATGTTCACATTCATCTATGTAGCATATCTTCAGATCTGAGTGTCTAAATGCTATATAATGTATGTAATTTGTGAGTTGAGTTTGACAACAAAATTTCTTTTTAAATAATCTTATCCAGTGTACTTTTCTTTCCCATTTTCTCTTTTGCATATTGATTTTCTTATTTGACATTCAGTCCTGGTTGAAGATATAACTCAGTGCTTCAGTAATTCAGTTTGAGAAATACTAACACTTTATAGAATACCAAATGAGAGTTCACAATTCAGCTTGCTCTCTCATTGTGTATTTTCCTGATGTATCTAGTAGTTTACTAGGATTTCTAAAAATCAAACTATTAAACTACTAGATATGTGTGCCAGTGATGAGTTACTTTTATTAGCAAACAATACAAACATTTGTCTTAGCCTATAAGAGCTATCTACTTTAATTGTATATTTTTATCTTCAGTATATTATATGCATAAATTGTCAAGATAACCTACACAGATCTTAAGGGGTGGCATGAAATCATAAGGGTAAAATAGCTTAGTTTCTCTGCATTATATGATCTTTAAAAAAGTCAAGAGCACTCAGCACTCTATTTTGGGAACTTACCTCTCTGAGAAGCTTCTATGCTTTATTCTCTGCAAAAAAGATTAAAAGTAATTTTACCAGGAGATAATGCCAACTGAAGAGCTCAAGTCTATTTTCATTCCCTTCTCCTTTCAATTACATTTAAACCTGGCTGAACAATGCTGCTTGGAAGAATTACAGTCCTCCTGGCCTCATAAGACATTTCTAACATTTCTTCAGCTAACCCTTATGCTGTGAAATTCAAAGGGGCAGGACGTGAGGTTGGCCATGACCCTGACTGATGTATCAAACATCCAGTTGGTGGATAGGCTCACCTGCTCGAGAAGATTCAGGTGCTCCTGGGAGCTGCTGAAATTTTTCCCAATGTCAAAGAGGCAGAAGGTCTCCTGCTGGCAGAGGTCGACCCAATTCCGGTATTCCCCTGGATCGGGGATGCGATCCAGAAAGATCCGGTAGGCTTCCCAGATTGCCTCCTGACACACTGCAAAACAGGGCTGTTAAAAGGGGCACAGTGGCCATGCCATGAGATCCTTTTCCCACAAAGTGTGATGTCACAATATGGCAAGCTCCTCTGTGGTTTATGCTGTGACACTTCTAACCCTTGGAAATGAACTGCTGGGTCTGGTACAGTAGACCAGTAGCTAAAGTTCTTGCCTTGTAGGTGTTGAGTCCCATATAGGCACCAGGTCATGTCCTGGCGGCCCTGCTTCCCTTCCAGTTCCCAGTCTGTGGCCTGAGAAAGCAGTAGAGGATGGCCCAAGCCTTGGGACCCTGCACCTGGAAGAAGCTCCTGGCTTCTGGCTTCAGATCAGCTCAGTTCTGGCCGTTGTGGCCACTTGGAGTAAACTAGTGGTTGGATCTTTCTGTCTCTCCTCCTCCTCTGTATATCTGACTTTCCAATTAAAATAAATGAATCTCAAGTAACTGCTAAAAGAATTCTTTTTTTAATACTATGTGTTATGGACAAAAGGAAAAGTGGAAAAACAGGCCATATGGTATGTATGCATGTAAGACTGAAATTTTTTAAAAGTTGAAGACATCACTGTGAAGGTGATGGCTGGGCAGTTGGGAAAAGCCCCGATGCTGATGTGGGAGAGCACCCAGAGCACCGAGGGAGAGGCAGGATGTCAAAGTGGCTAGAGCAAGACCGAGCAGCAGAAAGGAAGAAGCCAGAAAACAGATTGTAATGCAGACTTGGAGGGCTTCTGCAGACCAGTCATCTCCAAAATGGATACAGCTATTCAAGACTTTCCAGACGATGAGCAGGTGCACGGATTTAAAAAAATGCCCATTATTAGACTTCAGTCTTCATATGCATATCTGACAAGTTGGTCTCCCTAAGGACTCACCTCTCCTTTCTCACTTTGCCCTAAGGTCACAATCCCCGTCTTTTCCTCAGTTCTTCCTAATCTCACTGTTACCACACAAAGGGGGGTGAATCAATATAACCACATAGAGTTCGAGAAAGGGAGTAAACTCAGGATAGCATATACTGTAGCCAACTCAAGTGATTTCTGCTTCTTTGCTGTGAGCAAATTAGAGGAAATCCTGATGGGGCTGGCAGTTGATAATTAAAAACAATGACAAAATTGATATCACTATTGGCAAATGATGCCAAAGAAATGTAAATAAGAAGGACATTACTACAATAACAGAACTCCATTTGTTATCTACTTACTTAAGTGCAGATAGAACATGTTTACGTAACTGAGATGGAATGAAAGAATAGATTAGAAAGAATGTTGAACTCTATCTCTAGGACCCAATTTTGTGCATGAACCACAAGCAACTGTATTCACGCAGCAGTGGAAGCAAAGGAAGCTTAAGCTACATTTATGCTACATTTATACGGTTTCATTTTGGGAAACTGCTTTCTAAATTACCATGTCCAATTTTGTATTTACATCCTCAACATTTACATTTCATCCCATGTCTGTTAATAAAAACATGAAGGCAAGTGTTAAAACAAATATGTATCACAAATTTGATCAATTATACATTAAAATTCTGTCCTATGGAAATGAATCCAGAAGAAATTTATTTTTACATATAAGGTCAGTAGTCCTAAAAAATGAAAAATATGATTTTAATTTACATTGTTATTGAGAGGTATTTTAGAGCAATTAATAACAGATCTTCAAGCATAAACATAAATTACACTAAAATAAGCCTCTGAAGTGAGAGCTGATATAGAAATGTTTGCATGGAAAAAAGGGTTATGTGGCAATTACTGCATTTCAGTTTGTTGATGGATTTGTGAAGAGTACTTTATGGTAAATACTGAGAGGCTGAGTAGATTCTAATTATTTTTAATATAAATATTTATATAATTCAACAAAATTATTTTGCCCCAGAGATGTCAATTGAATACCAGAAGTCTATTTTCACTCCCGTCTTTTAATTACATTTAAATCTGCCTGAACAAAATACGATTCATTACAACATAAATATTCAACAAAAAGTTGGTTTCTAATGTTACGTAAAATATATTTTAAAATATTATGTATTTGATATAGAGACAGACACACAAAGTGAATTCTAGAAGGAGGGACAGAGTGAGAGTGGGAGCGTGCTCTTCCACCTGCTGGCTCAGTTCCCAAAGCCTGCCACAGTGGAGCCTGGGCCAGGCTGTAGCTAGAGGCCTGAAGCTCAGACCAGACCTTCCACATGGGTTTCAGGAATCCAAGTACTTAAGCTTCCTGCTTCCTAGAATAAACATTAACAGGATGTTGGATTGGAAGGGGCACTGGGATTTGAACCCAGGCACTCAATATGGGATGAGGATCAGTGTGCCTGATGCCAGTACCACCTCCTAATTATTTCAACAGTATGAAAGCTTTAAATATTAGGAAGCATTCCTTATTTGTCCTCGTCCTCCTACATATGCTAGGTCTGTCTGTCTCGGCTTTCTACTCTAAGAGGCAAAGATAAAGATCGCAATAGGAGCTCAGATCATTTACTAACAGCTATGTGATTAGAATTTTAATATTATTTAAGTTAGGAGATAGCAGAGGGTCAATTCCCAACTGCTGTCTAGTTTCCTACAGTTGGGAAAAGAACAAGGGTCACTTTACGCAGTAATGCAGCACTTCTCTGAAAAACTCTCCTTCAGACACAAGGGAGAAGGCCCATCCTGAGACCATCCATCTTGTCCCTGGACATCCATCTCAAGAGCCTGAAGGGCATGCAAGGAGACACTCACATACTCGCAGATCTGTCCAGACTCTGGGAGCTGCTGTGTGTCTGACTAGACACATTGTGCTCCACATTCTGGGTATTTTGCTCTTTCATACTTTGCATCCTTTGCATCTTTCATTCTTCTCCACTGAACTTTCCAGTTTAATTCAAAACCAATCTGGTGCCAGAGACACAATTCTTAAAATAAGTTGGCATTGCCTTTATGAGATTAGAGTTGTGACTTCCATGGGTGTAACTGCTGGGAAAAAAATCTGGGAAGACATGCTCTAATAATTTTTTTTTTTGGCTCAGCTTTGAGCTTGTTGCTTTTCATCTCAGATTAATCTATCTTCTATTTCAATCTAAGGCTAGAACTAACTATTCTGTTCTTCAGCCTATCTATCCCCATTTGAGCCTGAATTCAGACCTGTAGCATCAGAACAGATGTAGATAGATATATATGGAAGTTTATTTTCCTAAGAACTTTGTAGCCTGAGGATGTGTCAGCAGTTCTTCAGAGGTGTCTGCAGGCAGCAAGCTGAACCATGCAGTAGTTGTGTGTTGTGTACATGAATTTTCCTAGTTTTGCTTTCCCTGCTGCTCTTTTCCCCCCCTGTGCAGGTCACAGCACTCCCCAGGGCCCATGAAAATGTACTTTCCTTGAAGGCCCCAAGATCACTTTCTCCTTGAAGCATAGTGTCCTAAGCCATTTGAATAAATCCCCTTGGGGTGCACATCTCACCTTCTACAGGGGTCATAGAAGTTGCCCCTCAAAAAGCACCTAAAGAAATCTTTCTCTTGATGACCTTTTATATTCTGTAAGCTTTCCTCTGGCTAAGGAGCATGGACTCGACCCTTCTGCAAAGGGTAGCACCAGCCCAGAACCATCAAGGATGTCCAGGAACCTTACTGAGGGAGTAACCAAAAACCCTTGAAAATGGAGACACAAAGAATTTTAGTGCAGGAGGAATGGGAAAACTTCTCAAAGTTCTTACTCTTGGCTGGCTTGTAGCATTTTACCCTCTTGTAAACTTACTGGGAGATGTTGCATTAGCGGCCTGAATAAATCCAGCACCTTGCCTTTGCAGTTTTTCTTTGCTGCTCATCAGTGCCTGCAGTCTGACCACATAGCCTCAGCCTCTTTGAGAAGGGTTATAATCTAGGCTGATAAAATGGAAAGCACTCTAAGAGTGCATGCCCTGGAGGCCAGGCTCACAGAAAGTTATTTACAAGGGGGGAAGACCAAGTGGTTTGGGATAATGCCTGCATGAAATTTGGTCACACACTAGGTAAAGATAGAATACAACAAATGAGAGGATGCTGCTGGATCCTATCCTGCTCTGCCAGCAGTTGTGCCCTGAGTGCTCCTCCCAGCTCTCCTCTCCTCCCCGCTCTCCTTTGCACCTTCCTTTTTAAAAAACTTCCTGGTTTTTTTTTTTTACAGATTTATTTTTATTGGGAAGGTAGACCAGATTTGCAGAGAAGAGACAGGTTTTTCATCCATTGGTTCATTCCCCAAGCGGCTGCAAGGGCTGGAGCTGATACTGCTTTCCAAGGTTATAAGCAGGGAGTTGAGTGGGAAGTGGAGCAGCCAGGACAGGAACTGGTGCCCATCTTTTTTTTTTTTTTAATGTAGAGAGAACAGATTTGTGTATTTCATAGATAAAATTTTAAGAATATAATGATACTTCCCTCTAGTCTCTCCTTCCTACTTCTGCTTAACACTCCTTTTTTTTTTAAATTAATTACATTGCATTATCATTGCATTATGTGACACAGTGATATGGGCACTGGGATTCCCCCCACCCCTCCCCGAGCCCTCTCCCCATCGTGGATTTCTCCACCTTGCTGCATTACCACAGTTCAAATTCAGTTGAGGTTCTTTCATTGGAAGTATTTACCAAGCATAAGGTCCAGTGTCTTATTGTCCTAGTAACACTCCTTTTTTTTATCGCTCCCTAACCCTCCCTTCCCTCTTCTCCCCTCCTGTCCCTTCATTTCAGTTTCTTTAATAACATGCTTTTATTTTATAATCACAGAGTTAATGCTCCACTGCATATAGTGTTCAATAAGTGAAAGAATAGACCACTGTTCTGGAAACATACAGAAAAGAACTATAAATAATAATCAAATTACAAGATGTCAATTTCACTCTTCAACATTGAATTTTTGGTACGCTATCATAGCTACCACAAATCAGAAAGCAAGATATTTTGGGTTTCGCTAGTCAGATCTTAGTTTTGTTGTCTGTACAATGGAGTGCCCTAGATCAATGCTTCTAGAACTTTCAGGGCAAACAAATCCTCATGCACATTCTGACTTGTTCTAGGATACGCTCTGAGTGTCTATTTCTAAGTTCCCAGGACAATAACTAAAATAACAAAAGCTAGAAAGACATTCACTTTTAATCTTGACATACCATTGAGAAAGCAGTATGGCTTCTGCTATTGGAATTTAAGGAAGAAGAGAGAGGGAGATACATAAGTTAGGGAGGGAAGAGAGTTCAGGACCAGCATTGGTGAAGTGGGGAGTTGGCTGGGAAAGAGTTACCCTGGAGACCACCAGAAACAAACTGGGTACCTCTGCCCTTTGTTTTTGGATGAGCATGTTTGATTCTTCTACAAAGCTTGGTAAATTTTCACTTGTTTGCTTTCATCATTGGAAAAAAAATAGTTCAACATTCAATTTGATTTGGTTCTGGGGAGCTTTCTCTTAGTCTGAAAGATGTCAACAGATAATTTTTGTAAAAGCAGACATGAGAACAGTAAATGTGTTACTCCATCAAAGAAATCCTGCTTTGTATTTGGATCTTTATTTCTTCTTTGTGAGCCAATTTGCTTGACTTAAGAAACCCACACTGATGAATGGTAGAATTTCCTATCACATAGGGGCAGCCATGTAGATAATGGACTGTCACTGCTCTAGGGAGAAAAAACACTGTCTTGTTTCATTCAGGGAAACAAGAATGGAAAAAGTCAAACTTAATCAAGAAAAGAATAAAAATTCCCAAACTGAAAATTGGTTGTAGCAATAAGTAGTCTATTCTACAGATACGTGCAGTGATTCCTATTTGTGAATGCTGTAAAGAACTAGAAGTGACATGAAAATAGATAGCGATGCTAATACTGTACATGATACATCTCTCTGTGGACAGACAGTGTAGGATTTGCTAGTGTCATGTTATTAATGTGCAGGCACACTCAATATGAAGACTTCACACCTATCTCCTATGTGTATGTGTATGTTTTCTTAATGAGTTGCTTGCCATCTGTGTCCATCAGTAAATTTTTCCTGAGAACCTACTTCATGGAGATGTTTTGCTGGCTAGGACCTGAGCTATTAAGAGAGCACACTCAATTTTGGGTTTTCTCAGAGCTTGTTCTGACTGTAATCCAACCATTTTCATATTTCTGCGAGTGTGGCTTTTGTCAGCAGGAAAATAGCTTCACTTCCATTTAAAATGAGATGTCCAAACAACATAAAGCTTGATATATTTGACCATTAATGAATTATGCCTTCAAAACCCAGCAAGAACTCTTCAGGTTAATTGAGCTCATACATCTTAGACATGCAAGAACTGTGCTGGATGTTTGTATCTTGGAATGGCCTCTCAGTTGTCTTGGTGTGTATTGCATCACAAGCTAGAGCTGAACCTTGGGATCAAACCTTGGGAAGCCAACTTTGATCATGAAGGTAAGGAGTAAATTCCCTCAAGTTTAAGAGATTGTATTTGAAAAGCAGAGCAAGAGAGATATATAGATCTTTAATTTACTGGTTTACTTCCCAAATTGCTACAACAATCAGAACTGGGCTGAACCAAAGTCAGGAGTCAGGAGTACTTCCAGGTCTTCCACATGGGTACGTGGGTACATGGGTCCAGCAGTTGGGCCATCATCCTTCACTGCCTTTCTAGGCACACTAGCAGGGAGCTGGATCATAAGTACACCCATGGGGATTTGAACCACATGGGCTGCCAGTATTGCAGGTGGTGGCTTAATCTATTATAGTATAGCACTGGCTCCAATTCCCTCAACTTTCACAGGTGGATTGGATTTAATTTAGCCTTCAAATAGACAAAGCTACTTTGTATTACTTGGTACTACCTGGGGACTATAACAGCAGCCAACAGACTTATTTCTTTTAAACAGAAGCCATGGGGATTTTTCAGACCCATGATAAGTAAAGGAAAAAGATGGCCACTGGTAACCGGAGTGTGACTTAATCCTTGCCAGTGTGTCCTGGGAAAGCAGAAACCAGTTATGCTGTCTTGGAGGATTAAGCTGCAACTTAGACTGCAGTAACACCCCACAACAAATTTTTGTTACTAGTAATTTGTGTCTCCTTTGCTCCAGTATACATTTCAGGTTTCTCAAAGTCAGTTATCTCTAAGTCAGCAATGTATAGCTTCAATTTCCTAGGGAGGGAGAGAGGAACTGAACTTCAATGCTACTTTCAGAAAATGAAATCCTAAATCCTAAATCAATGCGTTCGTATTGCTCAATTTGAGTTTTTGTGCTTCTAAATTCATGAAAAAATCAAATTCAATATTGGGCATTGGCAAATATGAAGCAAAGAGCTAAAACTAGAATGCCCAGATGTTTTTTTCTGTTCTGTTAAATGTCTTCATAGTTTTGTGATGTGTAAAAGCATTATTTTAAGGTGAGAAACCATATCTAACAGTTTTGAGTGTTTTTCATTACTATTGGATTAAGGGACTGATTTCTATAACTTCTGCAGCTGAATGAAAGACCATGAAATTTTGGGACTGAAGACCACTGATTGATGGATAAAGGGGAACGAGTAAAGAGAATGAAGAGCTCAGCACATTCTGTCTTTCCTTACCTCTTAATCTATAATAAGCTTGAAGACTGGCTAAAATCTGTTGCATGGATTCCTGTGGACAGATTTTAGCCGCAGATGGGAGGAAAGCTGATCTTTTTGCTCGTTGTTTTGCCAAATCAAAAATTCGTTTCATGGTGGTGGACATTTTGTGGGTGTTTGAAGAGCTTTCAGTTATGAGTCTCGGGGCTTTGTCTGTATCTTTAGTATCAGAATGCTGTATTTTAATGGAGATATCTGTAACAGAAAGTTGATTTTCCCAGTAAGTATATATATGAAATCATCTAAAACTATAATCCTTTAGTTTATGAAACCTCTATCTTGATGCAACTGTCAAATGTAATATTTTAATCACAAGTCATTTTTTAGGAATAAGAAAATGGTACAATGAATCGATCAAGTTCATTTATTAAACCAGTGTCTTAATCATTTTGCCTGCAGGCACTGCCAGATATTTAAAACCATTTCTCACCCATCTCTCTCAAAATCACTCTCTACTTAGCACTCAAGCCTCCTGAGATCTCTCTGACAGGCATTATAACGTACATTGGGGTTACTCAGCCTTGTGGTACCCAGGGGTATACTTTTGATGAGGAAGTGAAGAGCTTCTAAAAACCTGGGGGGAAAACGCAACAAAATAATCTGCCTGTTAGTGACAGCCCTGGATTTTCTGGCTGGGATGGATTCAGAGAACAGAAGTTTAGTTGAAAGTGACTTGGAGCGAGAGTGAGCTTTGGACTTGCACTGACAGAGCCAGCCTGCTGCTTTTGAGACAGGGGAGGCAGGATCAGGCAGGAGTCGAGATAACCTGCCGGAGAATCAACTCCCTAGGCCATTTGTTGTGTTTAGTGTGACAGCTGACAACTCTCACAACAGTAACTTAAATTTATTAAAGTTGTTATTTTGACTTCTTTCATATATTTCATATCCTCATCAAAGTTTTGCTCATAGGTGAAGCATTTTATTTCTCACTTTACTGTGCCATAGTATATTGCAGAAGTGAAGAACACATAAACAGTATAGTCAGACTTCTATTCCTTCTAATTCAGCTCTTTTCTTTGATCCACACTAACTTTAAGAAAAAAATCACTGATAGAGACCACAAACCATGACACATCTTGTTGAAAGTTTGCCCTCTGTCACAATGGGAGGCAGAGAGAGCCCTGGTGGGTGTGCATTCTGTCACTGTGAGGAGGATCATTGTTCTCTGGATCCTGGGCAGCGGGAGGCTCTCAGCAAAGACTCTCTAGGAACAAACTTGGGAGATTAACTGGCTCTCCCAACCACAACCTAGAGCAATAAATCGTGATTTCTAGGTTAGAGCTGGATTTTGAACAACTTGTGAAGATCCTCAGATAATTGCAATACATAGACAGGCTTGGAAACCATGCTTTTATAACTCTATAAAGATGTTTCCCATTGAAGATTCTAAATTACTGATTTGAAATTGGTCTACATAGCCAGGAGGTTATCATGGCCAAAGGAAAGCTGCAGGTGGGGGATGCCAGCGGAAAACTGAGCTCTGCTCTAGATTGTCTTCCTTCTGGATTCTGCTTCACACCTGGTGACCTTCACTGAAGTTTTACATTGGTAGTTTATCACCATTGGGAGTGCAATTCTTTTTTTACTCGTGCCAAGTCATAGCTTTTCTAGCAGTGTGAATCCAGGCTAGTTGCCTAGGGAAATGCCAGCTTGGTTTGAGTAATCATAGGGAGAGGAAAGTGCTTAGCTGGAGGGGTTCAGTTCTGGAGTCTTAGTTTTCTGAGTCAGATTAGAAACACAGCAAAACGGACGGTACCCTTTCAACACTGAAGCAGAGCAAATGGGAAGTGCAAACTGAACACAGTGACTTACACTTAGCAAATGTAAATTTTTTCAGGAATGTTCATTTTTAATAACACCTTGAGACACTATAGGTTGCAAATGGTGTTGTCATTGTAAAAATTAAGTTATATGATGTCTTAGTTGTCATTAGCATAAAATAAGCATGTGTTGATGGATAATTCTAGGCCTATGTGAGGTGGCACAGACCATGTTCAGGAACGCTGACACTGATGTGGAAATAGTCATATTACTAAATAAAGGAAAAATGGAGATTAATGCATTTGAATATTCAGTATGTCAGAGGAAAGGCACTGCCATCATATGTGCTATTTACTTTTTAAATTTAACAAAATATGTTAATTATTCATGGAAAAATGTAGTAATAGTACGAAACATACAATGCCACTCATTCAAATATGGGCCAGGGATTTCTCTCAGTTTAAGGACATGATTAAGTTATCTTTGTTTCGTATTAGAAACCACCCTCCCTCCCTCAGCACTGATACCTCCAGTACATACTTGCCTATCTCCCTAGTGGCAGACTGAGTCATCGGCTGCAAGCTTCATCCCTATCAAGAGCCAGTGCAGCATCTGACAGTGAACCAGCAGATGGAGCTTTCTGTGTCTCTTCATGTCCCCCAAAACAAATAATTCAAAAAATTTGTTGCCTGCTGGATATATAAAGTGTATATACTCATGTGCAGTAGCAGGATTTCCACTTTTTAAACAAAGATTTGCTTATATTTTTACTTGAAAGTCTGAATTGCAGGGAAATTGATGGAGAGACAGATCTTCCATCCACTGGTTCACTCGCCAAATGGGCCAGAGCTCTGATGGAGCTTCTTCTGTGTCTCCCACATGGGTGCAGGGACCCAAGGCCTTAGGCCATTCTCTATGCTTTCCTAGGCTACAGGGAGCTGCATGGAAAGTGGAGCTGCAGGGTCGTGACTGGCTCTCTTATGGGATGCTGGTGTTGCAGTTGCTACACTACTACATCAGCTGCAGGATTCCTGTTTTCATTTCCATTTACTTTTACTATGTGTACTTTTATTTATCTTCTCTCTCCACTCTGTTTGCTACAATATGATAACTTTAAATATAGGAAAGTTAAGCTTGTTACTGTGAAGTGAATGAATACACTATTGTAATAATTTGGGAAAAAATTACAGGTGGGGAGATGAAGAGGCGGGGGGTCAAATCCTAATGTCTCTAAATCTCGGTGATGAAATGTGAAATCTACTCATTTGATTAAAAAAATGCAAAAAATGGTAAAATATGAATCAACTTGAAAAGGTTTAGTGGTGCCAGTGGAACTGATACGGTTACTTGCTGGCTGTATAACTTAGGTACGTTAGTTCTTCAAGTACATTCTGTTTCCTGACTTTCAAAGTAAGGAATAGTAGCTCCCCTAGCGGGCTGCAGTGGTGTTACATGAGTGATGCATAGGCAGTGTTGAAGCCGCGTTGGGTTTAGGGGGAGTGCTCCTTCATCTGATCCAGCTGTGCATTCCAGTTCCTCTGTTCTCACAGAACCTTTCATGAGACTGCGTCTGAGTCCTTAGATTGCCTCTGCCCCAAGTCCTCTGTCTTGCACACTTCCGTGCTCACCACGTATTTGCTCGTTTGTACTGAAAAGCCCTTCTTGTCCTTCTCTTACTGAGTTCTGAACTTTCCCAGCTCAAGTGCTTGCTACCTTCTAATTTTTTTTTCAAATCCCACATTTGAAATTCCTTACTTCCTGTGTTCTTCTAAAGCAGCTCATATCATTGCATGACGTTCATTGGTTTTCCAGTATTCATCCAGTAAATACCCGCTAAGATTCAAGCGGTGTGTGATATGTAACAGAAAATTAGAGGAATAATGGCATGCTTGTGGTGCGTGATTCTCCAGGTTTGTAAAATCATTAGTTCAATCCATGTATTTCTTCCGTTAGACTACAAAGCTTGAGGAGTCTGTAGTACAGTCCCAGGCTTCCTTCCTCCATTCACCTTGGAGCTTGTCTGGTACGTACAAAATTTTGTATATGACAAGCTATTCATATTAAGTTAACCAATGATCTGTGGGAGTATTCATGGGCATTTCATACTATATAAATGAGTTCTATTTTAAAGGCAACTGCAACACAAAAATAGCTTGATGTGTCCTTTCTACCCACATTATTGCGACTCCGCATCCCTTTAAATTTCCTCTGCTTTCCAGTGTTTAATATCAAAGGTTTAGGATGTAGCTCTCATATGCAGGTAAAACCTAAGTAAAAACGCTAACAAAATTCGTTAGTGCGAGAACACCTAAAGAACAGAAAGGAGGGCCCAGTGCATTAGCCCAGTGGCTAAAGTCCTCACTTTGCACGTACTGGGATCCCATATGGGCGGTTCTAATTTTGGCAGTCCCATTTCCCATCCAGCTCCCTGTTTGTGCCTAGGTAAACAGGCGAGTATGGCCCAAAGCCTTGGGACCCTGCACCCCCATGGGATACGGGGTTGAGGCTCCGGGCTCCTGGTTTCAAATCGGCTCAACTCTGGCCATTGTGATTCATTGGACGGAAGATCTTCCTCTCTGTCTCTTCTCTCTGTATATCTGCCTTTCCAATAAAAATAAATAAATCTTAAAACAGGAAGATGATGGTTCATTAAAATATGTAGTAGAAATATGTATTCTAAGACACTTTATTTATCTATAAATAAATATATAATCAGTAGATCCAGTTTAAGAAGTTAAGTATCAGAACAGATGTAAGTGTTGCCTGGTCAACTGGCTGTCAGTTCAACCCCTTTGCCTCGGTTTTGTATTAGTGAGGCAGCACCACAATGATGCTTCAGTTCAACCCTGCTGCTTCCTCATCTGAATCCTTGTGGTTGGAGAAAATGAGGCATCATGACCTACTTTCTCTCCATGATCATTAAATAAAATGGTCCAATCAGTTTCCCACTCTGCTGGACAGGTACACGCAGCCTTCTCAGATTTCCTGTACATCCTTGCCAATTTTCACTCTCTGTTGATAACTTTGCTTCGTATTTGTCAGAGAACAAGAAGAGCCAGGGTTTCCTGAACTTTGTGCACTGCATCTGCTCGCTGCTTGCCTTTGTGCTAATACACTCTGCTTCCCCTGCTGTGACAATTTAATGATTGCCCCAGGCTCCTGCCCAAGACCAGCTCCCTCTCTCAAGCACTGGATCTAATCTTATTTTTCAAGAGCCGCCTCCTATAATTTTTCCCATAACATTTCTCCAATTTCTACCGGAATATTCCTACATGGGCACAGACATGTTATTTTTTCCTTCTGTACAGAGAAACTCATGGGACAAGCGTTTAGATGTTAGTATCCGAATACCTGTCTTCAATTCCTAACGCTGCCTCCTGGCTCTAGTTTCTTCGCATTCCCTAGGGGGCAGAGGTAATGGCTCAGGTAATTTGTTCCTGCCACCTGCATGGAAGCCCAGCGTTGTCTTTCTGGGTTTGGGTTCAGCTGCAGCCTTTGTGAGATTTTAGGGGCATGCCAGTGGATGGGTGCTCTTTATATGCATTTCTATCTGCCTCTCAAATAAGTAAAAATTTTAAAAGGACCCACCCTTTGGAAGATTTTATTTTTATTTGAAAGGCAGAATTACAGAAGGGGAGAGAGGGAGAAAGAGGTTTTTTTCATCCAATGGTTC